AAATCGAGTTATCAAATTGGTTAAATGTTCAGCAAAATAAATATGATAGAATTGATTGGTAGAATTTTAAGAAAAAAAAATAATACTTTACTCACATTCTAATGATTTATCGAAATAAGTGGATTATAAAATAACGTTTTTATTATCAAATGTTATGAAATCATAATTAAAATGCATTCCAAGTAGTATATTAAATTTAAGACGCACCTCCTGACAATTTAAAATACGTATAAACATGCGTAATGCAACAGAATTTATATTAGTTTTCATCTTAGAAAGGTTAATAGAAAGACACGAGGATTGATAAAAGACAATAAACATTTACTTTTATTAATTCCAGAAATTGAATCTTGGAAGAGTATGTGAGTTTTTTTGTTTTTTTTTAGGAAATTGGGCAAATTTAGAAATAAAAATTCTTATGAGAAAAGAAAATTTAGTTTACTTTTTTCAATGTCGCAAGAGGCAGCAATAACTGTACTTCACAATAATTGGGTATGAGTTAATAAATAAATATTCCTTGGAAAGGATAGGTAACAAAATGAGGTTTATATGAAAAGGAAATTGGTAAAATTTACCCTTTTTTATTTCGTTAGAAATGACAGCTACGGATACGAGAAATAAGAATTTACGGATCATTATTGAAAATTTTTTCATTTTTGAATCGGCTATTGAAACTGGATAATTAGACAAAATAATAACCCTCATCGAAATTTCTATTTATAAAAAAAAATAATAATAAATTACTAACTTGGAAAGAAATCTTTAAAAGAAAATTATACAAGTTCTCAAAAAACGTAATTCGAGAATTTTACGAGTTCAAAGTCATATTTTCTGAACAGAAAGAATGTTCGTTTTCTTTCGGCTGTCCATCTAAGAATCAGAAATATTAATATACAATTACGTAATACTTTGAAAAAAGCCTTTGATTTTAACAAAAAACGACAATTCCTATGTTTACTTCGAAATTGTAAATATTCGGAATTTATGGCTTATATTTGAAACATTAACAAAGCCCACTGTTTTTTCTTGTAACTTTGCCCAGTATTTGAAAAATTCCATAAATTATTTATTATTGAAAAAAATCCAATGACAGTTGGCGCTTTTGAGGATTTCTCTGGTCTTAATTATTTTGACGTTCGGGTATCCAATCTCACCACCGTAGTATCTTACGATTTCGTAACTTTCCTAAATCAACCTCAAGTAATGAAGGCACTAGGTGCTAAGTCTTCAGCCGAAAACTGTAACTGCGATATCTATTGGGCATTTCAAGCAGCCGGAGATGGGTAAGTACGATGTTAATTGGAAATTCAGTTGGCACATCAACTTATTTATTTATATTTCTATAACAAAAATCAGAGGCCGGAGTTTCAAGAATCATGTCGGTTATCTCCTAGACCGTGGTATTCGTGTCCTCACCTATAATGGCGATGCTGATTATATTTTAAATTGGTAAATGATTCTTAATTTAATGTCATTGTTGTTAATTTGCACCATTTATTATTAAACGTTGCATAAATGAATAATATCATAAAGGTTTGGCACGCGAAACTGGACAAACGCGCTAGAATGGAATCACAAAAGGGAGTTTAATAACGCCTCATTTGAAGAATGGTTTGTGAAAGGGAAACCTGCAGGACAATATCAACAGGCAAATGGCTTTTGGTTTGTAAGATTTTATGATTCTGGTCATGTGGTTCCTTATTATCAGCCTCTTCGTTCACTCTATATGTTTGAAAAATGGGTTAATTTGTTGAGTCTGTAATTGGTGGGCCCAGGGACATACCGTTCTCTTATTTTTTTCTATGAAATTTTCCGTATGTTTAA